CTGACTTCATGAAAGCAGGAACCTCCACAGCCCGGTCTCTCTCCCCAGGCCTCAGAGCAGGCCTGTTTGCTGCTGTCTTTGGCGCTTTGTGTACAAACAGCTGAAAGGAGACGTAGTAATGGGCTCGCTGTCGACAGCCAGATTGTGAAGAAGCCAGTACAGACACGTGCTCTTTGGGGAATGACAGTAAGTCTGTTTTGTTTTTGTGACTATTACGCATACAGCGCTGGGGTACAGGCCAGAGGTGCAGGCGGTGAGAGGAATCACCAGAGTCAGAGCAGGGCGCAGAACAGGCAGCGTGACGAAGCACACTGCTTAGGGGGTGCAGCAGGCGGGTCAGGAGAGGTCTGCCGCGCCATGTGGGTCAGCTCCAGGTCGGGGATCCATCTCCCACTGAAGCTGCTGAGGCTGACTAGCCGTGCTGCACTGTAACCCATTGTGCCGCCAGGGAGAGCCCGACAGGGAGCCCAGAATCCCATGTCCTGGAGGTAATTTCTAACAATTACAGTAAGCAACCTCTTTTCTAATGTTTGTTCCACAACAACTCCTCACAGTTTGGGACTAGGCTGTATACACTTTGGTGGCCTGCTTTTTAAGTCTCACCATTTTCTCTCATGTACATTTCCCCACAACTTTAATTATACTGTATCAGCAAGAGCCCCAGCAGGAAACAGATGGCCAATCAATTTAGGGTAATTTGAAGCTGGTTTAATTTTGGGAGCACTTACAAAGGACTTGGATAGTAAAGGGAAAGGACAGAAGGTGGTAGGCCTTGGGTCCTGAAGTGGGGAGGGCCTGAAGGCAGGGGTGCAGGGAGGGAGGGGTTTCTTGACCCACGAGGGCAGTGAGTACCTGGTCCAGGATGCCAAGTTGTGATGGCCCTGCAGTCTGGGGGAGAAGTACCCTGACTTTACTTAGTACCCTGACTTTACTTTCTCTCCCAATGCCCAGCCCTGATGCTGGGCTCCTCACGGAGGCCAAAAGTCCGTCTCTTGGGCCCAAAGCCGAGTGGAGAAGCAGGAAGAGTCTGGAAAGGCAGATGGAACACATCCTGCAGGTACCACTTTTAAGGCTTCCAGCCAAACCATTTCATTTACCAGCCAACCCCTTTGGCAGGCACTGGTGTGACTCCCGGTGTTTTAAAGCCATGGTTCTCAAGGATGGGGTGGAGAGGCAAGGAGCAATTTTTTTCATTCTCATAACAGCAAACAGAACGTTGAACTGAAGGTTTTCATTGGGATAAAGTCCAAATCATCAGTTTCTGGGTTTTTTCGTTCATGGGTTATGCTTTTTGGTGTATCTCAAAAATCATCACCAAACCCAATCCTTTAGATTTTAGACTATGTTCTAAGAGTTTCATATTTTTTACTTTCCATTTTGGTCTATGATATGTTGACTTTCGTGAAACATGTAAGTCTGTGTCTAGATGTAAGTGAATGTCTAGTTATCGTAATACCTGTTATTGAAAAGATGATCCTGACTTGCCTTTCTTCCTTTCTCAATGATCAGTTGACTCTCTTTTTGTGGTTCTGTTGCTCTGCTCCTTTGATTTGTCTATCTCTTTGCCAATACCACACTGTTTTGGTTACTGTAGCTTTATGGTTTAGTCTGGAAGTCAGATAGTTGATCCTGTAATTTTGTTCTTTAGTATCGCATTAACTACTCAGATTCTTTTGAATCTCTATGTAAACTTTCAGCTGTCGGTATCCACAAAATAACTTGCTGAGATTTTTTTTTTAAAGGTTTATTTATTTATTCGTACAGAACTGGGGTACA